ACCTACAAAAAATTTTCATCACAGACGTGTCTTGCATTAACAAATATTTTAATTTGGAAATGTTTCTCTCGCATTTTATACTTATAGTATTTTGCTCGATCATTTTATAAAATTTTGGTCGTATATACCGTTTTCAATAAAATATATATACAAAATACAAAACATTCTGTACTAAATATATAGAAAATCACATATGAAGTCAATTTCTACTAGTTTTTGGAACTGAGACCCTCTAAGGTTATTCATTTCTGTACCTTACATTGTAAAATTTTTCAGCTATTCAAAAGATTAAACTGTAACAAGAAAACTTTTTTCATGATAGACACGAACTGACTTTTCATGAGGTGTCAATGAACACATGTGATGAATTTGCCTTACGAGATGTTTTCAAGTATCATTCTTTGTTTGAAAAATGTTATTGAGTAAAACAACATGATTACAATGTTATAATGAATTACGAAGACATAATTTGCTGTCATTCAACTACTTACGATAGACAAATCAGTTTATTAGAAATCAATCAGCATAGCTGAATTTGTTGACTATTAATAAACCAAACCATCTCTTAAATTGAGTTAATTTAATTAAAGAAATTCGTGTTATTGGACGCCTGCCCAGATCCGATATAGTGGGCATTTAGGGATCGATTTCTTGAACAAACTATTAGCTCTTTTGCCACGCATAACTTTATCAAATCTAACGCGTTCCTAACGTAATTAACAACGAAACGATTTCTTCTCAATGCTCCTATGTGCCCGTTGTAAGATTTTTTGTATGCTTCTTTTTAAATTATCACAATAGCGCTAAGTTTCAAGTGTTTCAACACCTTTTGCATGCAAAACAAACTTAGCGTGTATAGGCTGCGCGAAAACGATGCGGCAAAAAAAAAAAAAAATCAGACAACGTATGTAGGAGCTTTTTGTGAAGAAATGATTTCGTTTTTATTTTGGTCAATATCAGGTTTTATTTGAAAAACTTATGTATGGAAATATTTCTTTGACAAATTTTCACGAAAATTTGTTTTAAAAATTAGTCCTAAAAATGTCGGAGTTGTTCGCTTATCCCATTCCCTGCGATACCATACGGTACCACATAATTTACTTGCAAATAAAATATTCGCAGGTACAAAAGGCTGCATGAAAACTTGTTTGCCATACATTCAAACCTTTTACCAAGGCCAGGCTTCACTGATGACAAATTGCATGATCAGTGTTAACTCAGCGCTGTTACAGCGACGGTCTCTAGAGACGTGGTGAAAAGAAGCTCAATCCCAAAATTGCGCGACATGAAAAGCGAGCTATAATTATTATCAAATTAATTTATTTCTTAGATTCTGGGGGTAAAATGTAAGGTTTGTAGGTAAAGTTTTCCGTAGCTAACTGAGATTATTAACAAAAATCTCATGCCTTGTTATTAATTTTGAAGCGTGCAATGCACGGTGCTAGTACATGGTACAATTAGGAGGATTCGAGTACAAATATCAGTAAGTAATCAGTATCAGTATCAGTGTTGCTGACACCCGTGACAACAACGTGAAATTCCGGACTATACTCAACAATGGCCCCAGCCAAAAAGCGGAAGTTCTCTAGGAGGCTGGTGTAGTCTATGAATTTAGCTTCATATAAGGTTGTATACTTCTTCATCCTTTGGACTACATTGGAGTAATTTGACCATCAACCATGACATTGAGACCGTCTCACCTGCCATCTTCAGTCTGGAGGGCAGAGGAATATCCTAAGACAAACTCACAGGAGGAATCCCCTTCTCCAGCTCGCACCGTGCAGGAGGAACCCACCAGCATCGTCATCATGCAGTGCTGGAGGAACCCACCAGCATCGTCATCATGCAGTGCAGGAGGAACCCACCAGCATCGTCATCATGCAGTGCTGAAGGAACCACAAGCATCGTCATCATGCAGTCCTGGAGGGACTTTCTGGCTCGAAATTTTTGTTTTTAATCCTATTTACGTAGATTATGCACTTGTGTCTAACAAAAATTTCGTTACTCAATGTTTCTCTTAACCTAAAAATGAATGTTGTTACATTCGAAACGTCGTTAACATAGTTCGAGTATTATTACTTGCTAAACCTGCCTTTTGATCTACCAACGTCATCTAAAGAATCGTTCAACGCTTAGAAAATTTTAATGCGTTCTCTGGTCGTTTATCGTAACTATACGCATATAAACAAGAAAAGGCTGCAATCTAATCTAAATATCAGCAAGTATATATTTTGCGGGTCTCGCACTCTGAATGAAAGTTTAGGGCATCTAATGGAAACCTACAATGAAAATGACATATTCATTGAACCACCTGATGTTAATAACCTCCTTCATAACCAGAATGGTCATAAAAATCTGGATTGAAGCCGAAACGTAGATAAACTTTGGCGTGCAATCTCTAGGCTCCCGCAGAACTGCATTTGAGTAAGAAACTCATCAACTGATCAATGGATGATCGCTCACAAGAGGAGTCCTTCTGTATTGACGAGATGAAAAGAGCAGCATCCGAAGAAAGTAAGAAATGTGTTTGGGAGAGAATAGCCTAGTGCGTAACCAGTGCAATTATCCTGAAGCTAATCATATTGCAAATTCACAGTATTCTAAAGGAGAGCTTGTTGACTCTTTTGTAAACTTGGTTATTATAGTGCTGCGTGCATAAAGGATGAAAATAATGTGCCTGATGAAAATGAGGAAACATATGAACTTAGAGTAATCACTTTAATGGTGATTTATTTAGCGTGTATTGGAAACAAGAGAAACAAGTGCACTTATGAAACGAGAGAGCATGGCTTGAACAGTGTAACCGTTTTGGAGGAGTTTGTGATGGAGAAGGATTTGGGTGTGAACATTGCTAGCCAGTTGAGCTTTTCGAAGCACATTGAAATCCAGGTTAACAAGGCAATCAGGATTATGGGTCTGATTAGAAGATCATTAAAGATCATTAGAGTTTCTCAACATCGTTACAATGAACACTATTTGGGGCTCTCGTTAGACCACATTTCTGTAACCTAGCCTGGGTCACCAAGGCTTGAGAAAGACTAGAACTAGATATTTACGAAAAAGTTTTGAGGAGAGGAACTCGATTCACCCCTTGATATAATAAGGATATGTCTTATGAGCAGCGTCTGGAGAGGACGAAGGTTCCTGTTATCATCATAGTATGACATGTGGGAGAGTTTGCGGCGACCTCAAAGAGACGTACAAGTACACTCTTATGAATCACTGGAATGAGAATTTATTCACGCCTGATACTAAGAGGATCACCAGGGGCAATCAGTTTAAATTAAAGAAGCCAAGGTGTTACACTTATCAGAGGCAGCACTCGGTCGGTGGAACGGCCTGCCAGCGGAGGCTGCCGAGGCACTGATGAACGCTTTCAAGAATTGACTTGACTATGCTTTGTTATACGTATAGTATGAAGCAGCCTCGCACCAAAATGCGACCACTGGACAGTTAATATAACATGTGTAGTTTTGGACATAAACGTGGCTAGAGACAATATTTTTTGGGAGCTTTCTGTGTCGATTACAAGACGACAAGATTCGACGACAAGCCCTCTGATCGGCCTAATCATCAATCTGCTGCCAGGCAACACTTAGTTTTATCTTCTTCCCAGTAAACAAATGAATTGGTCGAAGTCTGCAGATATTCTCAATAAACCAGATCAGCCGCTATACTTTTTTTTATTTTTTTTTTCTTTTTCTCTCTTCTTCTTCTTTTTGCCACACATTTCCTACTAAACACAGCAATCCCCCAATTGTGGCCTTTTCCTGTGTGTATCATTAGTGTTTAAAACAATCTTACATTAGTTTTACCTAGCCAAAAACCCTAACATAACCTAACCGAACTGAACACAGCCTGACATATCCTACCTGTCCTAACCTAATCTTACCTCACTTAACCTTACTTCACCTAACCTTACCTTGCCTAACCTTACCTAACCCAACACAACCTAACCTAACTTAACCTATCCTAACCTAACCTAACCTGAACTAACTTTGCCGTACCCTAATCAACCCTAACTTAACCACCCTATGTGATTGTCGCCATAGGAACTTGTTCCTGGCTTGAACCTAACCTCAGCAAATGACGTATATTTTACGACATGTTTAATTTCCTACCTATTCTATTTCGATTCCGTGCATGATTNCTTTTTTGGGGATTTTGGGGGGGAAGGAGTGGGAATTTCGGAAATCCGACAAGAAGGTTTGGTAGAAAAAATATGCGTACGTCTCTGTGCCAATTTTCATGAGATTCTAACGGTTGAGCTCCTGGGAAAAACGGCTCGAGTGAAAACTTTGACCTCAAACCCCCCTGTACGTGATTATACAGCAGCAGCATATCAAAAGTGGAGAGTATAAGTTTAGCGTCCGCTTCGCGCCCGCTTCGCTGGCTGTAGGCACACAGAAAGTGAGCCGCTCCTGCCGAACGAGCTTCCAATACGATCAGGCAAAAAATTTAACAACAGCACAAAATGGTTGCGTTGTAGTGCAGTTAATTTATATAAATCGGGCAAATATTCTATACTGCGGCCACGTGGCCTTTTAAACATCACTGATAAGCAAATTAATGTTACACTTTGCCACATTCAAAACAGTATCTCAGAAAGGAGCCATAGTCAGAAATTTTCGAAAACTTTAGCATAAAAGATCTTAAAATGGGAGACTAATAGAGATTTGGGTTCATAGTGTGGCACCAGAATTCTCCAATTTTTTTTGTAGAGACCTGTGTTGTCACCGTTGTGCACGCGCGAACAAAATTCTGCATATGCAGCATTGACTTATGCATACATTTAATTTAATACTACTAATTTAATTTATATTAATACTAATGATTGTATAATATCTATTTCATATATATCCAAAAACTTTTTTATCGGAGGGAATGCCGAGCATCATGGTTTTCGTATCTGTCGTCCGGTCCAATTAATGACACCTTTTTCATAAAGTAAATATAGGTACCAAGAAAATCAGGAAATTTTTACAAGAGTACAAACAACAGCAAATTTATAGATATATATTTCAGATCAACTTCCGCACTATTTTCATATAGAATATTAAGTTATTGGCAAAATCATATGATAAAATGTCACCCGTAGCTTTGTTTGAGAGTTCGAGAAACTGCCGCCAAAATTTGACGGCCTTTTCCAGTCGCGAGTCGAGCCTCGGTTGACGTTACGGACAAAACGGATGACTGTAAGTGCCACTAAGTGGTTATTTTAATTTATTGTATTTTTCGTTATTCTTATACTTGAATCACCCTTACCTACTAGAGAACGATATAAAGCAATTTCAGCTATTGATATATTCATTTGTTGTCTGACATTATTGGCATTCCGATGCACCTCTGAGGCTGTCTCTGTGATACCGGCGGCAATACTGCGCCAATGGCTAAGGCGGCGCTAAGCTGAATTGGTGAAGTACTAGGTACCTACGCACGCTTTACAAACAAATTAGCCTGTGTGTCTTCACTCCTCAGGAATTCATGGTGGCAAACGACAGATTTTTAGAATCAGTCAATTTTTAATTTCCTCGTTTACCTACCGAAAAGTAAAACCGATTTCTTATGTATGATAGCCTAATTGATATTGCTTATTGGTGGTATCCATGAAAGTTGATAACTTGATACTTTACTAGACTTAGTACTTAGTAGTTAGTAGCCTAGTATACTTAAGACTCGAAAATGAAGTAAAAAATTAAAATAAAATTTCTCGGCTTCATCACCATGACTCAGGCTTTGTTTAAATGAAATTTTTTCTTTGTACCTAAAATGTTTAATGTAAATTACTATATATGCCATTGAGGCGGTGAGCCAGTCAGGCTCAGCCATTGCCATATGGGCCATGGCATATGGATGGAGTAATGGAGATGTACCTAGGCCCTACAGTTGTGAGGGGGTTGTTGTACTGAGGTAGTTATTGAGTTGGCTGGCAATTTAATGGTTTTGTAGTTACTTCCTATAGGATTGTAGGATTATACTAGGATAATAGAAGTGTGCAAGTCCAAGGCTTATGTGTGTTTAGCCTATTTGCTTCATGATAATTAGGATAGGTAAATAAGACCTGCAAACAAGGGTTAAGCATTACTGCATTAGAATTACTTTAGTACACAATGACAACAATGACAACATGGGTTAAATAATTCATAAGCTGCATTTTTTTTAATTCAAATCCACATAAATTAAATTCATGATAAATTTAAATTTAATTCACATTAAGTCTGACAACTCATCTTTACATTTTATCAAAACAGTAATTTAGGGGATTAACTTCCTAAAAATCCAACCTAGTTCTTTTTGATCATTAACATTTCAATCAGTAACCCAAAAATTCATTCCATTTAACGTTGCCTAAAGTTTCCCAATTAAGTTTATCTAGGATTGAATATCTCTCACTTGAACAATACTAATGAGTAATGAATATTATGACTTCAATATTAATGAATCTAACTGAATCAAAATCAATAATCAAATAATTACATAAATAAACAACTAATAATTTAATAATCAATCAATAATCAATTACCTAATAAATAATCAGTCCATAATCAATATCACATAATCAAAATTGAAATAGATCAAAATTTCAATACACAATGAAGCAAACCCAGATTAATTAGTCTCCCTATTATGAATATGACTTTGCAAATTGCAGATGTTACATATATCATGCTGGCATCTATGCTTGCTCCTCCTGCCCATGGGCCACTTGATGATTGTCATTAAAAACAATATAATTCTTGTCTGAACTACATTTCGTGTGGTTCAATATACACATGATGACCGTGAAACTATTTTTAGATGCTGGGGAAATGTGGTTTTTTAATTAAATATAATCTTTCTACTGAAGGCTGGCAACTTGAACCTTACCTAAGAAAGCATAGAATGATGAGATATGTGGAAATTTCAGTAGGTATGAACAATTATAAGATATTTACTCCAATGTATTTATCAAAATTTTGTTTTTGGAATCCTAAATCTCAGTTGAAAAATTTATCAAATACAGTCACTGCACACATTTTTTCATATAATTCAAAATTAAACATAAAAATATAAGGAGCAATAATAAAGATTCAATATAATTAAATTCAGTCAAGTTACCTTGAATAATTTAGTTAATAATGCTAGTTCTATTTAAAAAAATGAGATATTATCCTAAATTTTGTGGTCCAATTCAAAACTTTCGTGTATATAAATGCTTAAGTGTGAATTTTTGGGCATAGCAGGGGGTGATGCTATGTAGTATGTACAAAACTATGGTCAGATGATTGGCAGCTAGTCATGATGACATTGCCTCAAACACAAACTTGAGGAGGTGGCTATGGGACTTTTTGGGAAGAAATTTTAAGTGTCCATGTATGGTAACTTGCCCATGGAAGGCTTGAGTGCTGTGGCATTGACAGTATACAGGCAGCTTAAATAATGAACAAAATAATAAAACTGAAGAATGATCAAAAATACATATGTTATGTGTGTCACTGTGCAGTGAGAAATAATAATATATTTTTGAAGCATATATTGTAATTATTAATTAAGTTGTTGGACTGTGTTTCTGTCATGGAATATTTCTCTGTAGCCCAGAGAAATAAGTAGAGTACCCAGAGAAAAAAGTAGAGACCCAGTTATAGTGTTTGATCAAATGTGATGTGTATCTTCATTTATTCATTCTCCTAAATTCCATTATAAATTATGACAAATTGCCATTTTAACCATATTATACCAATTTCCAGTTATTCTTCACTTGAATGTTGATACAAAGCTTTTATTATGAAACTGCAACATTGTGAGTTTTGCATCTTGCGTAACTTCTATCTCTGAACTGTCAATTTTTACAATTCTGAACTAATATATGCAAAAGTTTCAGCTGTATATTGAAAAATTCAATTCTTAACTTTTTTTAATATTTAAGCCTAACATTGAGAAGTTAAAGAATGTTGTTGCTTAAAATTCCCTTCCAAAAAAAAGTTACCAAGAAGGCTGAGCAAGACTCAGTTTGTGCTTGAGGCTGAATTATAGTGCCTTTATAATCAGCCACCATCTGCAAAGTATTAAAATTATATGCATTTGAAGGAAAGTAGTTCTTCAGACAATAAAATTGTAAATAGTTTTTCACATTTTTAAGAGACATAATTACCAATATCTAGTTAATTAATAATAGTAAACTAATGTAATTAAAGTTAGATAGATTTTGCTTTAATTATCATGTTCTAATTTGAACAATAGGACTTTTTTGCTCTAATGATTGTAGTTGAGAAAATAATATTTACTTATTTAATTTTAATACTTAATTTTGAACCATGAATATTTAAATGCTCTTAGCAATAGGTCATACATTATTGCACAATCTAGAGAAATTCTGCATATTTTTGTTGTTGCAAGGTATTGATTTAGATATTTTGCTAATTTTTAAATGAGCCTATAGACTAAATGAGTCTAACATGCATCAGGCTCTAAGTGCCCTGGTATTGCTGCCTGATGGATGCATCATACCCTAAAGCTGGATTGAGTTGGCCTTCCTCTTTAATGTTATATATTTCAAGATTGTCTTCATAGATTGGCTATATAAGTGGTTTAATTGAGCTAAATTATAAATAATATATGAAATTGTTAATAGATTGATTCATATGCTTGTGATTATTTTCTGTGGACATGCATTTTATTTGGCTCTATTAGGAATTTTCAACTCGTGATGAAGATAAACTCCAAAATATAATTTCATGTGATAAATACATAAATAAAAATCAAAAAGATAGATACATTTTTGTGGAATATTTACATTTTAATTATTGAATCATTGCTAGTGAGTAAGCAATATGTTGACCTGAATCTTGAAGCAACTGATTAATTAAGAATTAAAAGCAGGTAGAACAAATTCAGATAATTTGTGGTGTTTCAGAGAATACAATTATTTTACTCCCATCATAATAGAGCCATCACTCAATTTTCCCCTGCCTAGAATAAAGTACCTATAGATTACCTTACAATAATATCTATTCTAGTAAATGTGGCTATGTTGATATTTGAGAAATTGAGATAGAAATTGTGAGTATTTCAGTTCACTCAGTAGAGTTTATTTCTACCTGAAATAAATTACTTTTACTTGGGTGAATGATTTTTTTATTAACGAGTGCTTTCTCTAACCATCATGAACTTTATATACTCTTGTTTGCAATTGGTACAATTCAATGAAAGGAGTCTGTTTGAATTTCCATGTGCTGTGTATAAATATTTTATCATAATCTATCAATTAATTGTGTGCATGTAATTTTTTCTTTGGATTAGAATTCATTGTCTGAGTGTAAAATTTGTAGTCAAGTCTTAATATGAAAATTGACTTGCAAAATTGTTTAGGTAGTTTTTCTATGGCACTACCTTGAATAGACATTTTTATTTTGATGTAAAACCAATGAGTTATCTAAATGAATTTTTAACATCTTTCCTGCTGGTATATAGTGAACTTGAATCAACAAAAAGCTCTGGAGTTGAAAAATAAATCAATTATTCAGAATCCACTGTAAAAGGCATCAGAAAATAAAGTTGAATGTTTGATATTTTGTTAGATCTGATGTGATGAATGAAATGAGTCTAACATGAAAACGTGTCTTATGACTCTATTTGTTCTGATAAATTGTTCTTTGTCATAGTGAAAATATTATAAAACATGATGTTTCATATGTACAGCTTTCATTTTATTCTGCATACTTTTTCTACTACAAACATGAGAATGTGATTGTCAGACCTTCTTCATTGGCCCTCACTGTACGCACTGTATTAGCGAATCGTGTGTCCATTTATATTTCTGGGACTACATATATTTCATTGTTTCTAGTTGAGTAATTTTAATTTTTTTTTTCATGCGTAATATTTATCATTTGTCTCATTTGACCAGGTCCGTTGAGTCAGCTCCAGGGGAAAATTGACCATAGCCAGTGAAGAAAATAGCTATCCAGGGGCTGTTGGAGCTTGCAGTGAACTAGTGTATCCACCCAAGCAACATATGATGGCAGCCTCCCAGTCATCGCAGTCAACCTCCGCCGCATCTCTTCCTCAGAGCAGGCAGCATTTGACTGAGAATGTCGCATCGCCGTTGAGTCTGACTTTCCTGGAGCATGAACTGGAGAAGTATGGCTCGTGGTCCACGAACAACGATAAGATGCAGTGGCTCAAAGAACCTGCGTCTTCTATGGCTGAAGCTACAAGCTCAAGCAGCGAGGCCGTGAAGACCGAGGCTGGTTTGGAAAACTGCCAGCAGAATTTAGGCAGCCTTGCATCCATCTGGGATACACCGCCCATTCAGACAGGAGATGTGTTACCAGATCTGTTCAATCTTGCTGTGCAGCTAGCGAGCGTTTCTGATACCACTGCAAGCAATGATCCTATTTTCAACGGCTTTGACGACATGTTTAATAACGGTGTAGCATCCATCCAAGCTTCTGGAGCGGGGACTCGTAATTCTGCTGTGAACGCGTCAGAAATCAAATGCGATGGTACGAAGTCTATTGTGAAGCAACAGGAACCGTTCAGACCTGAGCTAATTAATAAATGGTTGCTTGATGGAGATTCTTCAAGCTCGTCTCACAGTTCGGACTCGGCTACTCTCAACTTTGTATCCCCTGGGAGAGGCAGTGCGTCTTCTCATAATACATCAGTGGCATCTCCATGCACCTCTTACGTGGCATCTCCATGCACCTCTTACGTGGCTGAGGGATACCCTGCCAGGAGCCATTTCAGTTGTACCTCTGCTAACAGCACACCAGCAGCTACACCTACTAGGGTCACTGATGGGAATTTCTTTGGGACACCTCCGTTCAGAATGAACTTCACACCTAATGGTAGTGCTGTGAACTCGCCTAGGGATTCAAATAAATGGAGGGCTGTTGGTAGTCCGCCTTATTCATCTCCTACTGTTACGAGCTGCGGTAGTCTCAACAAGTGTGGTAAATTTGACGGAAAGCCCAAGCTTCTGTGTCGTAATCTCAACAACCAATGGGCGATGTGGCCTACAAAGAATGACGCTGGAAATCCTGACCCCAACGATCTCCGTTCCAGCTCAGGTGAAACTACGCCTAACAAAAATCATCCGAATTTAAAGTACCACTCGGCTGCTGGAGGCAATAACATAAAAGAGGAGCTTGGCCAACATTTCACTTATGAAGTCGTTGGCAAGGAAAACTTCGCTGCTCCTAACAATGTGAACAAGACAAATGTCATGAACCAAAAGACGGAACGAACTCAAATGTGGCGACAACCACTTTCTACTTTGTCATGTGCAAACCTTAACGTTTCATCCAATGCTCTAGTGACTGAGCAGGAACTGAAAGAATACCACCCTTATAAAGAGCGGTCTGTTAATGCTCATTCTGTCGGGGAGGCACCTTCAAGTTATCCAAATGAAACTTACCCGGCATTTTTCCAGTCACACCAGGCACCTTCTCCTCTGAATAACTCCGGTGCTTCTGCCGCGCAGTGCTTCGCGACTAGTAACGTGCCTCCAAATTTACGCACGCATTACAATGGAACGTTTCTGCCAAACCTCGTGATGGGTCCGCCCGAACGCCCAGCGCTGCCTCACCCTGGCGACCGAATGATGCCTGCTGCACAGCAGCAACTCCAACCGTTTCCATGTCGCGGCCAAAATGCTGGTTCGTGGCTACTCGCATAACATCGCTCTAACTACTGGATCTTGTCTATATTTGTTAACGTAGAGCTGCATACTACGTTTATTACAATGCAACTACAAGTCATTTGTGGTGTTGAAGATTAACCATTTCACGTTCATTAACGACTTTTGATTGGTATTTAATCCAAAAAAATATTCCATGCACTGCAGGTCAAAATCCTCATACTTGATGCAATAAAACGTTTACTTAATGTAATAGGTACCTAATGTGTTTATCGAATTCATACAATTGTAGGTTTTTCATGTTTAGATTGAGTAACAGGATTAGATGGACTGCGCTATATTTTGAATCTCAAATTAAAGCTTTTAAATCGCCCAATTCTTGTGAGGTTTCATTCTAGGTAAGTTGTGAAATGTTTTCAGTGTTTGATATTATTTTCCAGTTGCATTCCTTTAATAAACAGCACATAAGTAAATTTAATGTATATCGTTGCATAATTCAGTTTCTGGACAATGTTCTAGAGCTGGTATCGCTGATGCAAGAGCTGGCCGTGGTGCAGAACATCGAGGTCCCAGCCATGCAGCTCCGCAGTCCTCCCGCCAAGCCAAGCGCTCCTGTGACAGATGTCAACGATTCTCCGAATAAAGGATGCGTTTTCTGCAAGAACAACGGCTACCATTCCACCTTCTATAAAGCCCATTCGCTCAAGGTGAGACGTTCTACAGTCTACATTGCATGACCCTAAACTTGTGTTGCAAAAACTTCCTTAGAAACTGGGGCGTGAAACTTCTGTGCTAAGTCCTTTGTTAAGGTATTTACTTATCTTTGACCATGATCATGTAGTAGTTATTGAATACTTCGAAGATTTTGGACTATTTAAATGCGTTTTGAAACTCGCGAAATTGTCTCACATCAACTATTTTTAAGATCTCCAACATCCATGGCATCTTAGGCAGCCATTATATTTTGTGCGAATTGTTTGTCGAAACATTTCAATGATCCTAAGACAATTACTTTTTTTGCAACTTAACAGCTTCGTACAGCATTCAAACCTGACGTTTCATCAAAAATTCTGTTAAGATTTCAGTGTTCGTTTATCATTCTTCCCAACTGGCTTTCGATTATTATTTGTAACATCTTGCCATCAAGTCTAAGGCTTTTTATGATGAGATGTGTAGTGACTAGATAATATTCTAGTGTATAATCTCCAAGCTGAGAGATATTAGTATAGTATAGTATCTTCGGCATTTAAGGAATAGGCCTGGATAGGCCTGTCGCCGATTCTTGTGCTTTTCTTGACTAGACTGGCCTTTTGATCAGATCTTTTCAACGGACGGTAGATTTAAAATCGCTTCTAGATATCAGTTTTTCCGTAGGGTACGAGGCATTTTAAGACTGAACATATGCTCATGCATGGCCTTGTCTAGTCTGTTCTTGAACGCGTTCATACTCGGAGCGTCAACAATATCTTCAGGGAGGCTGTTCCACATGTCAGTGACTCGAAGCGAGAAGAAATGTTGTCGCGTGGATAAGTTGAAACGCAGTTTTTTTAGTTTATAGCTTCCTTTTCCTTTGAGATTATTAGGTGTAAAGCTGTACTTTGTCGCAGAGTTAATACCGTAATTATGACGATGCTCGTGAACTTTGGTCGATAGCGTCACAAATAACTAAAATAATCATCTTCGTAAGCCAGTTAATCATGGCCAGTCCATAACTATAAAAATGTTCCGATGATTTTACAATAGTTTTAAGCCCTAATAAGGTTAAATAATATAATTCTTTAAGTCATAGAATAAGAGTAAGCTAAAAATCTTCTTCTCGCGACTCTGGCAACATCGGTAACCGAGCTCCAGAACCGTTACAGGCTATTCGAAATAAGACGCGCTGCCGTTCGGTGATACCAAAATTACTATAGGATAGCTTGCGAATAACACTGGATTGTTTGGATTTCATACTCTTGTTTGGATTTCATACGTGAAGAAATTTACCTCATGCTTGTATCACCACGTTACATAGTCTGGCAGAACCTGAAATAATAAAGAAGAAAAACCCAGACGCTCTTAATTTAGATCCCCATATCACCTGAATTCCTCCGGTTACCCCGACCACGCTACTAGCCATATTGTTACCACATTACCGGTTACACATTCCTCCCTTAGATGTTATACTGCCTTAAGGCGCTTATCAAGAGCCTTGAGGCCTCGGACAGGCTTAACTCGTCCCCATGGGCTTCTACAAATTAGGTTCTACTTGTACTCCACTCGTGAATGAGATGACAATCTGACTTTTTCTATGTTTATCCAGCTATTTTATTGCAAACGGTGAACCGTAACGAAAAATATGAAGACTTTGTATTTAAGTTAGGACGTTAAACGTTCTCACTTGAGCTGTCCATTTCAGGATGAACGAGGATTTTGCACGTGTCCTGTACTGCGGACGTACGTGTGTCCGTTGTGCGGGTCATCAGGAAACTCGGCACACACCCTCAAGTATTGCCCCTTCAACACTGTGACTGGAGGCGATCCAGTGGCGGCAGGCTTACCTCCTGGCAAAGTCACCAATTGGCGCAACGTCGCTCACATGATGGCTGTCACCAGCAAGCCTCCACCTGCTGACATCTTCTGGCGCCCATAATTGCGTTCACTCTTGCAAATTTACCTTGATGCCATAAGTGATGTTTCAAATTGTTTGCATTTTCTAGAAAATTATTATCCGAATGATACCGCGGATACCGAATCAAATGAGCCTTATTTCATGACAATTTTTTGTTTTACCACTGTAAAATGAGTCTATCTAGTTTTAAACTTTGTCAATTATTATTCTACCGTCTTTGCACTAAGTAATTTTTTCATGTAAACCAATAGAGTAATCGAAAATTTATTGTGAAGAACTCGTTTGGTGAACTCCAATTAAAATTGGGCATGCGTGTTCTATTGGTATTGAGTTGTTTTGTGCGAGGGGGACAAAATGGGTACGTATAAGTTAAAATACTTGTTGTTTAGAATCGTAACCTAAATATGGCATCAATGCAACAAGGTTAAATTGGCATGTTTAAGGTGGACGCCAATTTTAACGAATCGGGTGCGCGTTCATAGTAATATGCAATTGGTAACGAATGAAAGATATGATTCAATTCATTTTCAAGCAGAAAACGATCATCAGCTCTTACACTTCAACGCTTTCCTTGCTAATCAAAATAAATGAACTTTTTATGTAACAAGTTATTTCCTCGTCCCTTGAAGCTAAACTTAACTTCGCCTCTTGAGTATCGTGCTCATATACTTCAACGCCTTTCTTCTTAATCAAAATGTGTTGACTTTTTATGTAATAAGTTATTTCGTCGTCGCCTGGAGCCACGCATACTTTGCTTCTAGGTTGACTCATCTCTTTCTAATTCGTAGTTTACTCCTTGGATCTTTTAACCCTGGAGCATCCTGTATCGTATTTGTATCTTCTGCTGCATCGTATCTGAGCATTTGACATTTAGCATGTTTCTGAATTACCAAATTAATAGTTGGAACAATTCTAAGTACGTTGTTTGCATAATTCAAGTCTTCACTTAATCAAATATTTTCAAAAATCTCTCTGAAAAATGGCATCAAAAATATCATGTTAATAGTATTCAAAAATTTGTATTTCAGTAATGTTTATAATGAATGTTGAGATGCTCCTTAATGTTGAGATTCATGCTCGTTATCATAAGTTAACTATAAGCTTAGTTCTTTTTGCAATGCTAAGAAATTCTTATTAAGATTTGTGTTGTATAGTTTAGACAGAAATGCTGAATCTCAGTTCCTATTTTTTGTTTCGTACTACTAATTTTTTGCAATCGTTTCACCGTATCGAGATAGCCTTTTATTCTGCTGTTTATTTATGAGACGACGTCTCGCTGAGCCGTTTAGCTGAGGATTCTCGCTTCATGTTTTAGCTTGTGACCAAGGATCTGGTTCAAGAGTTGGACCTGCGAAGTTTTCTGGATAACAGTTCCTACACCATTTATTTATAGCCATTATGTAACCACTAACCAGTCTTGTTTGTTTCTAGGTAAGATCTTAGGCTTGCCTTCCACTTAAGTACCATTCATGACGAAAGTGTTACGCTTGCCTCATACTTTAGTACCATTCATGACGAATGTCTTAGGCTTACCTTACACTTTAGTACCATTCATGACGAATGTCTTAGGCTTACCTTACACTTTAGTACCATTCATGACGAAATTCTTAGGCTTGCCTTACACTTTCGTATCATTCATGACGAAAGGGGCTGCCTCCTGGACCATGTTCTCTCATTGCTTTATTGTTGCTCTACTGCACGGACTTCCAATCACTAAGGATTCATTCATTCGAGGTTATGAAAGTAACTTTATTTTTGAAAAACCGAAATCGTAATTTATTCGAAGTGCGAGGAAACTCCATTTTTCGTGTTCAAGTTGATCGTTTGAGAAAAGTCTTGTTATTTTTACCTAAAGTTTATACTATTTATTAACTTGAGATATGCGTGCAATGTTAGTGTTTGATGTCCGTTAATAAGAGTATATATATATATATATGAATAATCAGCATGTTTGCGTTATTTTGTCTTATCTTTTCATATCCATGAAACTTTAATATACTTCCGCCAACTTCAATTTCATTAAATTTTAGGGCTCTTCTATTGAAAGTCGAAGTTATAAATTCCAGTTTATTGCACATCCAGAAATAATAAATGAGCTGTTTTGTGCTAGCTAGTGAACGAAGATTGATGCTCTAATCCATTCGAGATTCAATGCAGAGGTTTACACAAGATTGAAGAACGGACTTGGCAGAAAACGTGTATCGGAGGAGCCTATAAGGGTATAATATATTTCTTGTGGCAATCAAAGCATAAACTGAATACAGGCTATTTTAAATACTTCTGGCACTCGACGCGTTAGATGAAATGGACATCGCCGCCGCTCACCCGTGCACTGAGGTGGCTTAGATGGCAGACGGAGAGGGTGCCGGAAGAAGGGGAAGTGAGCGAAGGTAGAGGAGTGTGGCCTAATAAGCCTCAGCCTCCACGGGACTGTTCCACAGTGAGTAGACGTTGAGGGCAGGAGGATAGAAAGGGCAGACATAGAGAAACTGGACGGACTGGAAAAGACCTTCCTACTCTGATCAAGCGTCGCTAGGAGTTCGTCTGAGTCAGAAGATTTAGGATGCAAGTGCAGCCAGGAAACTGCAGCGGTCAGAGCTAACGCTGAGCGGTAGGGGCGGGGTAGCGAGGCTTCTTCTGAGTTGACGGGAGACGAAACGGCCAAATCGCATGATGGTTTCGGGGATGGGGGCGGATGTCGTTCGGCACAAAGCTTTTGTATCCTGGAAGATTTACTGGCTGAGTTAAAGGCTGCCAAAGCCGAAAACTGCCCAATAAACAAATGCTTCTTCCAAGAGCTTAGGTTAGCTAGCGATATAAGTGGAATGATACTAGCTGGAAATCATCTAGTATATTCATTGAAACAACTTCTCTTAAGATAGTAAAAGCAGCGTCTTGTGCACTGAAGTTTTTTGTGAATTTTGTAACTCGATCTTGTGATTTGCGGGGGCGATGTTCGTGCTTGATGTCCGTTGATAAGACTATATATGTCTCTTCCATTGCATAACTCTAAAGGTAAAATATAAGTCTATAAGTACAAGATAAAAATCGAAAAAGCATCCAAATTCGAAGTACCGCTCTCCTGCTGGCGGCAATAGTTTAAATGGAAAAATAGGCAAACATTTCACTTACGAAGTCGCAAGCAAAGAATACTGCGTAGCTCCTATAGAATTTGCAGAAGACGAATATTTTAGAATAGAAGTGTCGGAACTGAAGAAATAGGCCCATGGCCTGTTGCCGATTCTTGTAATTTTCGTGACTTGATTCAAAAGGGATCCGGCCTTTGGAACCCGATCTTCCCATAACTGACGATTGATTGAGATAGCTGCTGGACTTATTGCCTGGGGCCATACTTTCAAAATTCGCTAAGTGAACGTAAGTTCTTACGCTCTATTTTCTTGTCTATGATTGGTGGATTTGGCTTGAAAGGCCGTCAATGATTGGCTGATAAACTTACGATCTCTTAACTTTTTTTGAAAGTATGGGCCTGGTCCGTAATTTCCTAGGCATTTTATGACTCAACATATGCTCCTGCATAGCTTCGTCTAGTGCTCTAGTCTGTTCTTGAAGGCGTTCATACTCGGAGCATCAACATGCTATCAGAAGGCTGGTCCGCATGTCGGTGACTGGAAGCGAGAAGAAATGTTGTCACATGGATGTGTTACAACGCAGTTTTTTCAGTTTATCGCCATGGCCCCTGGTGTTGGTTCTTGTTTCAAATGCTAGTAATCCTTCTGGGACCTTGTACAAGCCATGAGTATACATACTTGTATGCTTCAACGAGGTCCCCACGCAGACGTCGATAACTGAGGCTTGGAAGCTTCATAATCTTTAATCTTTTTTCATAGGACTTGGCTTTCAAGCCCGGAATTATCCTTGTTGCACGTCTTTGAACAGTCTATTATATTTTTGTACTTTTCAAGTTTTGGTGACCACACGGCGTTTTAAAACTCTAGGTTCGAGCGCACGACGGAGCCCTTGTTCATACTATTTCGTAGTGAGTAGGTGAAAGCCATAAGGGCAGTCGTGGTCGAGTGTCCAGGTCGAAAACCGTGTTAGTGATGGGCTAGGGGCAGGTGTTGAATGTTGATGGGTAGCAGGCATCGTTCTAGGACTTGGATGGCGAGGAAGAGCCGTTGGGTTGGTTGGTAGGATTTCGCACACTGAAGAAATTGGTCAAATATGTAATTCCAAGTGGTATGAGATATTTGAGGAGAAAGATTGTGAGTTTACTGAACCGGTGGCTTAAGTGGGACGTTATTCTCCAATATCCTCGGCCACATGCGCCAGGGACAGATTTTGAGGCTGAGGCTCTACGATCTCCAGGGTGTGAATCTGTCAAGTTTGTTGAACAAGTGTTAGGTGAAGGCCATGGTTGAACTATACAAGATTGACCCACGAGATGTTCCGTCTTTCAGTTCAGCTTTCTTGTTACGTCACGTAGCTCGAGGAACGTAAACAAACCCGTCATTCCCATGACGGATTGGTCAACTGGTTTGATCGCATTTCGGTGATTGGTTAACGCCCGTGACGTCACTGAGATCAGTGACGTCACATCCGAACAACGAACTTCATCCGCAAAAATGGGCTTCTGATGGGTCAACCTTATACTAGTTCAACCATGGGTGAAGGCAGTGAGGAGAGATACTTGAAGTGATCAGCGAGCTTTCTGTTGCTGCTGATGGATTTTCCCTCGAAGTTAATGGCGTTATTGCGGTAATGATTCGGTTGTCCGTTGAGGGCAATTATTATTGACCAGAGACGTTTGACATTGGTGTGGCGGCAGAAGATGTTGTTTTCACCGGCCTTTTTTTGGCGTCACTGGCAAGCATCTGCATCCGAGCGGTGAGGGTTGCTGAGTCTTCGGAGATGGTGTCGGCCGCACGGAGGTTATCTCGTTGCCGGGTGAAACTGATATATTTAGAGCAGCCAGGTTTTTGGGTGGATGTGGCCGTCAAAAGGAATGTTGTGGTTGCTCGGTGCGATTAGAATTTTACGAATTTTTTATTCGGCTGTCCATCCAGAGATAACAAATGGAAGCGGTTTTCTGTTCGCTAGTGAACAAAGATTGAAGTAACACCGTAATCGATTCAATATTTCTGGCTCTGAACACTTTTACTTTCAAAGTTCACTTTAGAGAATAGAATTTACCTAACAAGGAAAGTGTATTAGAATAGCAAATAATAGTATATATTTCACATGCCAGTCAAATCAAAAACTGTTTGCATCAAGTTTTCATTAATTTCCGGCAATCAAAGCATTAACTGAACAAACTAACATTCCTAGACGATATACTTGACTAGCTCGTAGCATAACACTTAACTCTTGACATGTGCTGATAAAAAATGCTATTCTTGCCTTGATAAATCAACCTATCGTATAAATATTTGATCTGTGTAATATCTAATTTACCGGGTAACATATTATACTAGAAACTTGGTGCGACAATATGTGCCAACTAACAATTCTACGCTCTAAAAAAGTCATAACTTGATCAACTCTTAAATAATACAATATGAACTAGTAAAAGATACCGGATTATGAAACATCATTTTGGGTGCATAATAATCTGTGCATTTCTCTATCGCGTAAAATTGCAGCGCCGTAATCCATATGGAGTTGTTGGAAGAGGAAATATTCTCGGCAACATGAGCAGGACGTGGCGCCGAGTTGTTGACAGTGACAGGTGCTACCACTTGCGGCCACGGTATCACCCGAGCTTGAGACGTCGGAGCCAGAGGAAGACTTCTTGGCTACCACGTGCAGTAAGGCGTTGGCACGAACTGCTTTCTTCTGTCGTTTTGGTGGTACAGGGCGAGGTGGTGTTGAGGGCGGGGAGCATGGATTAGAAATTGAAGTGCGAGAGCTGGAATGCATTGAAGCTGAAGTAGCGGTAGAAGAGCCTAGCTGTGGTGTAGATGGCGATGACTGGCTGCCAGATACTGTGAAGCTGCGAGGCCGCTTATCTTTGTGGCCTGTTTCTTCATCGTCTTCCTGTCAGAGGTAGAATTTGTGATCAATTCCTTTTCAAAAATTTATAATTAAACCAGCAGCCGCACATAGAATTCTATCAAAATGTTATCACTTACAATAAGTAACAGAACATGGAATATGCGCGTGGATAATTATCGTGACTCGTCCGGACCCAAGTCTGTGATCCGGTTGAAGACCGGTTAAAATTCGAAGTGAAATTTGACGTCTTGGTTGTTTTATGCTGATGAATAAGATGATAATGCTTGAATTAGGTTGCAGAAAATAAGTTGAGTTTTCTGAATTGGCACAGCAGCCTATGATCAACAGCTTTTCCTGACGGTAAAATAAAGAATCCTAATAGATTTTAGTGAAAACCAGATGAGGAAGCGTTAAAATTTACTGGTACTATGAAATTTGCTAGGTTGAACCAAGCTGGACGAGGCTTGCTTTAAAGTTTAAATGGACAAAGCCCATAGAGAGGCTCCCACTCAATTCAAAACTGACACCAAACGGCGCTCGCGATGAGTTAGTTTAGTGGCCATATGTTTACTAGCGCTTCATCTATTTAGCTATCTCGCACCGAAAGTCAAGATGAACATCACCAAAGAGGTGGAAGGTCTCAGTTATCGAAAGTTTCTTAAATAAAAAAATTGTTCATCACCCACAAGGGGGCGGAAGGTCTCAATTGTCCAGCCCGCTGAAGCTGGCACGAAGGAAGCAGCGTTAGCATCTCAAAGAGACGAAGTGACAAGAAGGGACAGGTTAAAAGCAACAGAAACTAAGACACTCGAACAAGAGGTCGCTTACACGGGACGTCGGCCGCCGGCACGAGAGAGACAGAGAAGGGAAATGTAAGGAATCCTACCTACATAATAACTAAATGTAAGGAATCCTACCTACATAATAACTTAATGTAAGGTATCCTACCTACATAATAACCTAATGTAGGATATCCTACCGACATAATAACTTAATGTAAGGAATCCTACCTACATAATAACTTAATGTAAGGTATCCTACCTACATAATAACTTAATACAGAGGCCTGCAGTCAGACACCGCGAGCTCAGCGGTGGGGCGCTCAGGAACAATCCTCCTAGGAGCGCGAAATCCCATAGGACTTCTGACGAGCACAGACACGCGTCAGAAGTCCCCCCTGAGGGGGCGTTCGCGATGATTGAATTATTCCAAATTTAACGTTTCTCACTTTAAATTGAAAGTGGCCGAAAGATGTACAAGTCATTGTTTTATAATTCGTAGATAAAATGTTCTTCGTGCGTAAGTAGTTGAAATTATACGACTCAGAAAAGGGACAAAGAAATTAGAATTCGTACCAACAAGTTTAGGAGTGCATGACAATTACCACTGAAAATATTCATAATAATCATATGTATTCATCAGGTGCAGTAACAAACAGGCAATAAATAAGATGAATATAGAACTGTTCACTTTTGATTGATAGTTATGATACTCATGAATAACAGAGAAAACCCTTGATCAAAAACAGTCCTTCACGCAATTATCTGCAACTCGTTAACATAAATGGCCTTGATACTTCACAAACAAAAAGTCGTCAAATTAAAATGTGCCTGTGCATAAGGTGGACACTAATACCTTGGGAAGCTTTAAAGTTAGCGAGCACATACATTTCAAAATTCTTGCACTGCTCTGTATTGTTTAATACAGAATGTAAATTCCCAAAGAAGCTGGTTCACTTCAAATAACCATCAGGCTTTTAATGCGACAAAAAAACGACAAGCGTTGGTTTAATATTCCCGATACACATGACTTAGGAAGTCGTTATTTAGCAAGTCTTGTTAGTTACTACTGACATGCAAACAAGTTATTTGCCAGACAAGTTATTTTGCCATTTATATCACAAAATGTGGGATGATCTTGAAAATTTTCGTCACTGGCTTCAGAGAAATGGAATCGGCAAAACAGAGCAAAGCTGTATTTCTTCTATTTCAAACTCTGTCAATGAATCAAAAACTTCTGAAATTCGTGCCAAGCCGGATACAGAAAGTTTTTCTTCTGAACGAACACTTAACATGAAGTAAAAGTTGAGGAAATTCGAATTGATGATCATGTCGATTGACACAAAATGACTGCAATCAAAGCCATGTTATAGGATTGATGCAACAAAAACTTTCCTCGTGCTTAAATCGTTATCAGCAATATGATTATATTTATACATAAAGATATGTTATGACCAGGACCAGACAATCAAAGATAATTGAACAAGTTATAATTAAAGATTTCTGTTTAATTATATTCACCGAAGATGAACATGCATCTACAATCATTAATACAGATTTGAAATATACTTTCTGAAGAAACACAGCATCTAGCCGTCCTTGTGTATATATATAACGTGAATAATTCGAATAAAGTATGTATTTTATATATGGTAAGTGCTATAGAAATATGCCACAAAGGAAACGAGAAGCTTTTCAGTCCCACACCTCACGCGAGAAGCAAAGCAATCTTCAGGCAGCGGCTCCTGTTGCCAATTCTTCACTCTCCTTCCCAGCATAAAACGAAATAATTTACAAAATAATACAACAGTTAAATTGTCTAGCATGCTCACTGCCAATCAATATCCCGGAATATCCATAGATACGCTAAAGGGAGAAAAATTTCCTATGATGGCGAGATAAACTTGCATAAACACAAACGATGCAAAGAAATTTTCAATTTGATGACCAGCAATGCAAAAATCAGCCGCACAAAATTATTTTCCATCAAAAATTTTGTTATAGATTCAATTTCAACTCATGATAGATTCAGCACATGATAGATAATAAAACATGAAAAAACATGGCAATTCAGCCACTACTGCAGATTGCCTTACCATATCAATACAAAAAGCCTCGTTCTCTTTAGGATGCCTTACCATGGCCATGACAATAGCCTCGTTCTCTTCAGGTTGCCTTACCATGGCCATGACAATAGCCTCGTTCTCTTCAGGTTGCCTTACCATGGCCATGACAATAGCCTCGTTCTCTTCAGGTTGCCTTACCATGGCCATGACCTGTCTCTTATACACATCTAGATGTGTATAAGAGACAGGCCTTACCATGGCCATGACAATAGCCTCGTTCTCTTCAGGTTGCCTTACCATGGCCATGACTAAGCCTCGTTCTCTTCAAGTTGCCTTACCATGGCCATGACAATAGCCATGTTCTCCTCGGCAGTGTTGAAGGGATTTAGCCTGTGACGAGCGTTGCTGACCACTGCATCACTGTGGCCGCTCACGCCGTCTTTTGACTCTTCAATACTCGACCAAGCACCTAAAACATCATCATAATATCAAACAAGGATCAAGATTATTCATAGAAAAAATGAAAGCAAATATACCCATTAGGAGGATTCAAAATCAGACCAATTCACAAGTTTTCATCACTGAGAAAATAAACATAAATGATTCAATAAAACATGCATACTGAATGTCACTGATATATTGCTTGACAAATGAAAAAGTGAAAAAAGATAATGGTTTACATCATAGAAAAACTCTGAAATCATTTTTTTTTTCTGCCACACTTATAATGTAAAATGAACATTATTAATGAACAAGTAGGCATCTTTCCCTATTGAGAAGCATATCAGGCAAGCTTCTTGTAACAACTTCAAAAATAAAACTGGTACAATTGTGGACATATTTGGATGTTATACATACAGTCAAGCTCCTTCAGCTGAGATTCCAGCTCAGCCACCATCAGCTTGAGGTAAGTGTAGGATGCTCGCGCTAGAGACTTCATCCATTTCTCCAAGCTTTCCTGCAATTGAGGGTCTCTTTTTAACAAGTTTTAAAATGAGAACTGACAATCATGCAATCAATGTTTAATATGTAGTATAAGAACATATGATGGTTCCAAATGTTAAAATCAGATTACATTAGTAAAAGTGAGAAGTAATCACATGAGTAAAAGTAAGAAGTAAGAGAAGAAGTAAGCATAAAAGTAAGAGTAGGAGTATGAAGAACTGAGCATCAAAGTAGTAGAGTAAGAAGTAGTAAGAAGAAATAAGTTAAGTGTAAACTGGGCTATAAGTTAAGGAAAGAAATATAATACAGAGAATATTTTACTAGTCACTATTCTGAAACCAATTGGACTAATTATATATATTCATTGCAACTTTGTAAATTCATGTTAGTAACTTATACAATTTATAATGATTAACATACCTGACTATCAGCGGCCAGCACATACTCTCTGGCAGGGAAAACAATCCTGAAGCAAAAAACTTGTTCTTCATGCTCAGCCAGTTCTGAAAAAATATTCTCAGCATCAAGCTCTATGTATAGCACTATGATGATAAAAATTAAATAAAATCATGTATACTTTAGTTCATTTCTGCGACCTGTAATTAAAAAATGGCTAAAATAATTTTAATGCCAGCCACCAGGTCCAAGTATTATGTGTGAAGTAACATTGAAAGAAATTATAGTCATAATAGGAATGAGAGACACATTTAACTCTTTGAAATTCTGAAGCAAACACTTCTCAAGGATCAGTCAAGCATTAATAAAAAATTTTTTAATGAACCATAGAAAAAATGTAACTCAGTACTCACTGCAGTGAGTGACAGCGCGCATTTTTAGTCGACAAAATGTGAAGTCACGGACTGACAGACAGACAGACGGACAGACAAATGGACAGACAGGCAGACATGGCAAGCACATTAATGCATCTTTTCCATAAATGAGAAGATGCACTAAAAAGGGCAGCAATAATTGCAATAAAATAATTTTATCATGATATAAATTAACTAATTAGGTATATACAAAAAGCAACTCCAGCAATAGGATATTAGTAATATGTATTTTTCAAAATTTTTAATGTACCTATATTTATTGAATATCCATAGAAAAATTTAATCAATTTATTATTAATCAATAAATTATTTGGTAGCCAATATAAATATTTGGGTACCTAAGTCTTCATTGAAAAGTTTCATGTTCATTAATAATTCATTTGTATGTTACAATAGTACCTTCTTTGTAAGATATTTTAACTGCATCAACATTCACTGGTATCTCTATTTAAAAAAGGCTAAATTTTACAAATCTATTTAATTTTTGGAATAATCTGATGAAGTGTTGGGATCAAACCAACAGCAAAATTAGATAAATTATTCCTGCAAAGCTCACCAATTGTACATCCCTCAATGATGATGACACCGATGGGCTCTTTGTCTCCACGTTTTTCAAAGTAGAATAGAAGATTTCCTTTGAGGACAAACCATCTCTTCAAAAATGTCCGATTATTCTGCATATATTGAAACAATTATTAATCATGCATACGTGGAATGGTGCAATGCAAATATTATACATGAAATATGCAGCTTCTGTGATCCTGCAGGCAAAATTGTAAGATATTTTAAGAAGTGTTTATTTTTAATTCTGTAATTCATATTTTCCATTAATATTGAGGCACTTGTCATAACATGGCACCAGTTTTTGAATACCCTGCTGATAAAATTCTGCCACCTTTCTTGTTAACCACAAATGAAGAGTGCAGAGTGATGCATTTGATACATCAAGTGCAGTGTGATGCCTCACACTGCATCAAATGCATCACACTGCACTTGACAAACACCTGGGCAGTCGGCATCTTCAAGACAATAACAAAGTCAAAACATTTGTGATGCAGTGGTTAGCAAGTCAGGTGACAGAATTTTATCAGGAAAACTTATCAGGTGTTCAAAATCAGGCATTCAAAACCTTTTTTGTCAGGTATTCAAAAACTGGTGCCATGTTATGACAAGTGCCTCAATATTCACAGAAATTATGCAGAAAAGTAGATTAAGGTACAGGCTTTCATGTAAAAATAAAATTATTGGGATATCTTTGCAAGTCTTTTTTAATTCCAAAACAGTACTGACTAAAAAAACTTGTCTCATAGTTTGTAGAAGATGTCAGAAAAAGGTTCTTATTTAAAGAAAATAAAGTTATTTTCCTTAATGATCAATAATTGAATGCTTATTTTGTGTTCACTGACTATACTCCATTTCTTCCACTCATGGCAATGAACCCAATGTGCATTTTATTTTTTGGTTTTGAGGTTAGGATACATAAAATTAATTAATATTACTTTCTTCCTTGGTAGATCCCTTATGAATCTTGTCCATGCTCCAAAAGCATATACATATTTTCCATGCTCCTTCATCACTTTGAGTGCCATATGTACCATATGTGGTACATGCATTCATGTCTCAACCCACTAATGCCAAGCAATTACATTTGTTACCATCTGGTAAAAGAGATTTAGAATTCAACTGCATGCTCAAATAATCATTTTAGTGGGTGTGTTAGTTTGTGTCAGGTCCTGTACAGGTTCTGATGCGCTTGTTTCTTCTTGTTCAGTTGACCTTTGAAGATTACAAGAAATGGGTGTCAGAAATGATGGTTCAACATCATAACAGAGACGGTGGCGGTGGAAATTCCACTTTGGGTGGAAAGCTTTTTTATAAGTGAACTTCCATTCTTGGAATTCCACCCTGCTACAGCTTGCAGGAGACATGTGGAAAAAGTGATGGAGGGACATTATCAACATTGAAAGTAGATGTATTGATTGGAGACTAACAAAATAAATATTGCAGCAACACCAACATGTATGGACAATAATTTTTGACATTAATAATTTCTCACCTCTCCTTGTTTAAGTAGGACTCCATCTCGGTGAACTGTGGTTGGAGCAATGCTAAAAGCTATGAGATTTTTCTCATTTATTTTCATAGCAAACAATTATATAAGGCCAACTTGACAGTACAACATAAAAAAACCTGGAATAATAAATTATAATTATTGATTGCTTATTTAGTTATCAGTGCTGATAACTTTATTCACAAATTTCTTAAAAAAATGTCCTTCATTTATTGCCTTGTTGCTCTTGACTGGTTAATAATGAACATTTTGTTGTTAACTCATTAATGGCAAGCGGTTCCATTTGGAACCAGTGGAAAAAAAAATTGATTCATAATAAAATTGTATGGTCAAATCAGTACACTAGTGGATGCGTAGTTTTGATACACATCTTGTACATGTTCTGGCAATGTTTGGTTTTGCTGTGCCAATCACTCCCTGCTCAGTTAACATTCAAAGATTTCAAGTACCGGGTGCCAGACAGGAGGGCTTGACATCATTGCAGAAACAGGTAAGCAGTTTGTTATAAAATATATTATTTATAAGTTAGATGCAGAATTTTATTGATAAAGAGAGTACCGTCAACTGGGGTGACTTCGGCCAAATTACACTAGTTTCTGCTGATCAAATTTCTACAAAATAGGAATGAAGCACTGCTGGTGATTGTAAATTTGTAAATATATTACTGAAAGGTTCTTCTTTAAATATGTAATGTCTAAATGATGTCACTCTTATCGAAAAATAATTTCATTTTTTTAATTAGCTGGTTGGCTGAGGTCACCCCGCAATGAGGTGACTTTGGCCACATGTGTTAAAACACAGTAAAAACATAGTAAAATGATTTCATAGCCGAATTTAACCATTAGCTGGGTGACATCGGCCATGTAGGGTGTTTTAAAAAATGATAATCAATGCCACTGTGTATTATAAAAATTGTAACTCAAAGATAAAACTCACATTTGCGAATCATATGCTTCATTAAAGCTGCTTTCTGTCAATTTCAATGGCAGCTGGATGTGAAAATTTGAAAAAAATCTAGTCCCCATGGGATCTCAAGCATTCTTCAAAACACCGATGATGCTTGATAGAGGTGCAACCCTTGAACTTATGTAAAGTGCGACCTTGTTTGTCAAGGTACCGTAAAATGGGGTTACTTTGACCGGCGGAGTAACTTTGACCACTCTTCGTTTTTTTAACAAAAACCCCCAAAACTCAAAAACGATTCGACATAGAAAAATTTTGTCAATGGCCATCAAAGGCCTAATACTGAGGCTACATAACACAATAGAAAGATTTAAAAAGTTTGCATATCCAATAGGTTAAAAAATTAAAAATGTGACCCACAAAAAAGAGCTATTATTCAAAGCCTGTCAGAGTACCCCCTCCAATTTTTCTAATTTTTGGTAAAATAACTCCAGGTTTTGATGCATTGTAGTAGAACTCTTCTAGTTACATATGCAAAGACAAATTTTAGGAAAGTGTCATAGTTTGCAAATGGGGGGCGCTGTCCCCCCATGGGGTAACTTTGACCACCTAATAGCAGCCATGACGGGGTAACATTGACCGGCTTGGAAATTAAGTTAAAATTACAATAGGTACCTATATAACATATTTTATATTTGATACACCTATTAATGTTTTTTTCTTTATGTTTCAGACTCTACAGAGTCTTATATGTGGTAATTTTAACTTAATTTCCAAACTGGTCAATGTTACCCCGTCACAGCTGCCATTAGATGGTCACATTTTGTCCATTTGGGGGTGGCGCCCCCCATTTGCAAACTATGACACTTTCCTCAAATTTGTCTTTTGCATATGTAACTAGAAGAGTTCTACTACAATGCACCACAATCTGGAGTTATTTTACCAAAAAATAAAATTGATTTTACCACCCAGTCAAAGAAACCCCAAGAGCTGGGGTAACAAAGACCATCACTTTTTTTGAAATTACATCAAAACTACGAAAAGCAGGAGCCAGCAATTTATGGTGAGTAAAGCTAGAGTATAGACCTGTATTTTGCATGTTTCAATTTAAGTTTAACTTATCTAGTAAAAAAGTGGCATCATTTTGAAAAAAAAGTGGTCAAAGTTACCCCATTTTACAGTAATTTTTGACCATAAAAGGCAGATCCATACCATCTAATGGGAAGCCCCAGTCTGAAAGCAGAATAATGTAGGATACTAAATCTGACTCCTCCCTAGGTGAAAGAGTAGACTGTCCTAAATTTTTCGCATTACGGCCAGCACATCGGTCGCTCAAAGGTGAATGAGGGACTTTGCAAATATTAGCAGCTTCTCTTAAGCTAACAGCCTAACACCATCTTTTATCAATTGAAATGCTAACTTAAAGGACTCCACATAATATATCCTATATAGTATATGGCACAGAATCTAATTTACATTTATAGCTGTGCATATTGTCTGAAAAAAGAAGAAAAATCTATTATTCTAAACATTTATTGGCTGGCCCAAGTCACCCCATTTAGCCCATATACTATGGGGTGACTTTGGCCAGCTAATTTTTCTAGCATATTGGGTAAACGCGGTATATTCGGACACATTAAGGACGCATCGAGAAATGAAAAACTATAAAAAAACGTATGCGTTACGTAAGTTCTGTTGCCTTCACGTGACTCTCAAAACACTTCACTACACGTCAGCAACGATGAAACGTCACAAAATGTTGTCATATTTAATAAAAAGCCTTTAGAATGGAAACTTACCAAATCCCTTTATTCCGTCACTGTGTGTGGCAATATTCGACACGTGGTGAGTCGTATTACGTCAGCGCTTCAAATTTAACTGATACGTAATGCCGACAGCCACGTGTTCGAATTCCGTACGCTGTGTGAGCTGTATTGGGATACAACACGGCTTTGAATTAGAACACTAACGAATATTGAACACTACTTAATTACGTTTCAATTAACAGCTATTATGCTTTTAATTAAGCAAATTTCAATTTTTGTACAAAGCTTTGAATGATCTGTGTGTTTCCAATTCAAGTTGTGTCGGAATTAGTTTTCATGTGTCTAAATCTATTTCTCAACTTCATCATCTATTAATTTATTAACGACTTGAAATCAGCGAATACAAGTATACTTAAAGGATTCCTAATATATTCACAGACGTATTTAAAAGTCTCAAACCATAATATTCTTCCTATAAAAACAGTTATTCACTATTTGGTAGAGCAAGGTCAACTGTCAAATTTGACACATTTTTCGATGATCTCACCAGGTGGCATGCATCGTCTCTCTTTGGATCTCAATATTTTCCTACTAGATGGCCAAGACCTAGTATTTTGGCAGTATTTTGACACGCAAATGTATGACGTCACCATTTCAACCATCAACAAACGCATGGAACTAAAACAAAGCTTAATATAAAGGAAAAGCTGGAGAGGTGACAGAATTACTTACGATGTCGGAATATACCGCGTTTACCCTATATTACATTTGGTAAAAAACGTATAGCCATTGAAATAATCATTATACAAGATACTAAAATAAGTGAAACAAATCTGATTTCAAAATTCTTTTTGTATCTCAAAATATTGAAGTTTGCACTCAGTGTTTTTTTCTTTACAGTACTGTGGGGCGTGGGCAGTCTGTGGCATTTAGATTGTGTTGGTCAAGCAGGATATAAAATTATTGAAACAAAACAGTTTCCAATCAATAGATAAGAAAAAACTACATAGGATACCATTTTGTTCCAATCACACAACACACCTACAACAGAAACAGATGGCCACAAAGAAAAATCATAAACGTTGGCCGAAGTCACCCCGGTGGCCAAATTCACCCCAGTTGATGGTACTTTTAATTCTGTATATGGTATTATGTGATATAATGTTTCTAAAGTAATTTAGACCATGAAATATTTTGCCTGGTTCCAAATGGAACCGCTCGGCAGCAGTGCTGCTAGTGCAAGCATTCCGGTCATCTCATTTTCCCAGTTGATTACTTTCTGATATACCATAGTTACGTATTGTACCATCAACCGGGGCTACTCGGGACGATTTCGAACGTTTTTCATTTATAACTTCTTACCATGAAAAATTTCATTAACAAGTTTAGGCTCATTTCAAAGCTCTTTGCAAGGGCTATCACATGGCTTCTCCAAAAAAATTCCATATGCTATTCATAAGGTGCCAGAAGCAAAAAAAGAGTGTCCTGAGTAGCCCCGTCGAACGGGGCTACTCGGGACATTGTAGTCTACTGCAGTCTACTCCCACAAATTTGTCATTTGCATATGTAACTAACTAACTAGAAGAATTCTACTACAATGCACCAAAACCTGGAGTTATTTTAGCAAAAAATAAAATTGATTTTACCACCTGGTCAAAGAAACCCCAAGAGCTGGGGTAACAAAGACCATCACTTTTTTTTCAAATTACATCAAAACTATGAGAGGCAGGAGCCAGCAATTTATGGTGAGTAAAGCTAGAGTATGAACCTGTATTTTGCATGTTTCAATTTAAGTTTAACTTATCTAGTAAAAAAATGGCATTTTGAAAAAAAGTGGTCAAAACTTAAAGTTACCCCATTTTACGGTATACTTCAATGAGGTCACCACGCAGGGTGGCAGGCATAGTGGCAAACCAGAGATTTTTTAGAATCAGTTCATTTTTGATTTCCTCATTTGCTCAATAGGGTAAACGCGGTATATTCCGACACATTAAGGACGCATCGAGAAATGAAAAACTATAAAAAACCATATGCGTTACGTAAGTTCTGTTGCCTTCACATGACTCTCAAAACACTTCACTACGTGTCAGCAACAATGAAACGTCACAAAATGTTGCCATATTTATTAAAAAGCCTTTAGAATGGAAACCTACCAAATCCCTATATTCTGTCACTTTGTTGTTTTTGCAGTATTTCGACACGCAAATGTATGACGTCACCATTTCAACCATCAATGAACGCATGGAACTAAAACAAAGCTTAATATAAAGGAAAAGCTGGAGAGGTGACGGAATTACCTACGATGTCGGAATATACCGCGTTTACCCTATTTAAACCAATTTCTTATGTATGATTATGCTGGTATCCATGATACTTTACTGGTCTACTTATAGTACTCAAAATTGAACTTGAGGGAGATTCTAAAAAATTCTCTGCTTTGCCACTATGGC